TTCCACCACCATGGATAATATCCCTCCCACCCCCATCCCTCCCATCCCACCCTCCCTCTGTGGCAGGGCAATCCCTTGTGTTCTCTCTCTCCTTTTGGGTGTTGTGGTCTGCAAAAGAGGCTTTGAGTGGCAAACATGTTCAGTTCATAGTCTACTTTCAACATGCATCTCCCCTCCTGGGAGGATCCTCCAAACACCCTTTATTTGGTGCTCCCTTCTCTATCTGAGCTGCCCTTTCCCCTAGAATGCCAGGCTGGCCTCTAAGCTATGGAGTATTCCTCCTGGTGCTGATCTCAGCTATGCTTGGGTATTAATCTCATATTTTGTTACTTTATATTCCCCAGATGAATGCAATCTTTCTATGTCTGTCCCTCTCTTTCTGACTCATTGCGCTTAACATGATACTTTCCATGTTGTACCACGTGTATGTAAATTTCATGACTTCATCTTTTCTAACAGCTACATAGTACTCCATTGTGTAGATGTACCAAAGTTTCTTTAACCAGTCAGCTGTTCTTGGGCATTCAGGTTTCTTCCAGTTTCTGGCTATTGTAAAGAGTGCTGCAATGAACAAACAAGTGCAGATGTCACTTCGACTATACATTTTTGCCTCTCTGGGATATATTCCCAGGAGTGGTATTGCTGGGTCAAATTGGAGCTCAATTTCTAATTTTTTGAGAATCATCCATACTGTTTTCCAGAAGGGCTGAACCAGTCGGCATTTTCACCAACAGTGAAGGAGTGTCCCTTTCTCGCCACATCCGCGCCAGCATCAGTTGCTTTTGTTCTTTTGGATGTGGGCCAGTCTCTGAGGTGTGAGTTGGTATCTCATTGTGGTTTTGATCTGCATCTCTCTGATGATTAATGATGTAGAGCATTTTCTCATGTGCTTTTTTTGCCATTCGGATTTCTTCTTTGAGAAAGTTTCTGTTCATTTCATTGCCCCATTTTTTGATGGGCTTGGATGTTTTCTTCTTGTGGAGTTCGACCAGTATTTTGTATATCCTTGATATCAACCCCTTGTCAGATGTGTATTCGGCGAATATCCTTTCCCATTCTGTAGACTGTCTTTGTATTTTGGTCACTGTTTCTTTGGAGGTGCAGAAGCTTCTTAGTTTAAGATAGTCCCATTTATCTATCTCTGTTTTCACTTGCTCGGCCAGTGGCATGGCATCTTTGAAGATACCATTAGCTTCAACGTCATGGAGGGTTTTGCCAACTTTGTCTTCAATGTACCTTATGGTTTCTGGTCTGATGTTGAGGTCTTTAATCCATTTTGATCTTACTTTTGTACATGGTGTTAGGCAGAGTTCTGAGCCCATTTTATTTGCATGTAGCCGTCCAGTGATGCCAGCACTATTTGTTAAAGAGGCTTTCCTTACTCTGCTTCACGTTACTTGCACCTTTATCAAAGATTAGATGATCATATGATTGAGGGGAGATGTCAGTGTATTCAACCTTGTTCCATTGGTCTGCAGTTCTGCCTTTATTCCAGTACCATGCTGTTTTAATTATTACTGCTTTGTAGTACAGTTTGAAGTTCGGGAGGTTGATTCCTCCCATTTTCTTTTTCCCAAGAATTGCTTTAGCTACTCGTGGGGGCTTATTGTTCCATATAAATTTCAGGAGTGTTTGCTCCATTTAGAGAAGGGGACTCTTATTCATTGTTGGTGGGAGTGCCGATGATTACAGCACTTTTGTAAAACAATATGGACATTCCTCAAAGAACTAGAAATTGAGCTTTCAGGAAAGCAGTCTTCTATGTTCATTGCAGCACTCCTTCACAATAGCTAGAATCTGGAAACAACCCAAGTGCCAAAGAACAGACAACTAGAAAAAGAAATTAAAGGGTACATATACACAATGGATTTCTATGCTGTCACAAGGTAAAATAAAGTCATGAAATTTGCTTATAAATAAATGGACATTGAGAGTATCACACCAAGTGAAATGAGTAAGTGGGAGAGAGACAGACATAGAATGATTGCATTTGTGGGATATGAAAACACATAGAATGAGACAATAGAAACAAGGGCCAAAGCACGGGCCCATGGGTGGAATGGGCTACAAGTGGAGTGGAAGGAATAGTTAGGATAGAGATGTTAGGATATGAAAGTGATGCAGAGAGAGGGAGAGAGGGAAGGAGGGAGGGAGGAGGGTTGAAAGAAGGGAGTAAGGGAGGGAGAGAGAGAGAGGCAGAGATGAAGGGAAGGAAGGGGAGAAAGAGGAGAAAGGAAGGAGGAGGAGGAGGAGGAGAAAGAAGAAAGAAAAGAAAGAAAAAGAAAGAAAAGGAAAGAAAGAAAGGAAGGAAGAGAAAGAGAGAGAAAAGAAAAAAAGAAAAAATTGCTTATCATAGAGTGGGCAGAAGTTGGTGGGAGGTTGGGTTGGTGGGAGGGAAACTGGGGACGTCGGTGGTAGGAAATATACAGTGGTGAAGGGAAGGTTGTGACTGAAATCCAAACATGAAAAACTTTGTAACTGTGTGTCTCATGTTAATTCCAAAATTTATTTTTTAAAATCAAATATAATACATAAATTTTTTTGCTCCAGCAAATCTCACGTGTAAACTAGGCCTATGTGGGAATAAGGGAGTCAAAATTAATCTTTGAGGATATTCTTTAGGAAAAGCTTTTGATATGCATTTGATCTCCATTCTAGTGCACTTAAAATTATGCCTTGAATGATTTTAGCTATACTGGTCTTTAAGTGCCCTTTGATACAGGGTATATCATGAACTTCAAATCAAGCTAACGGAAAAATGAAAATGATAGTGCTGAAATTTCTAGTCAGCTACATTCTACTACACAAAGAGACAAGAAGACTGGGCCAATTCATCAAAATCAAACTGTCAACGTTTAATATCCATGGGAAGAAATAGAGCTAACTTAAAGCAAAATAATCCCAACTATAATTGCTATTCTGAAATGTGACTCCTTTCTAGGGCAGATTATACTGGCCTTGGATGTAGTATGTAATATCTTTGATCCCTCCTGTAGGATAACACTCTTTTGTCCTTCCTCAGGTAGCTTAGGTCTGTCAGGTCACACCCATCTAAGAACACTGAACTTGTATTGTAAGCAATATCCATTCTGTGTGGACACAGGAAGACAGTTAATATTATGCTTTGTAACTTGGGAGTTGATTGACTCCAAATAATATTTACTCCTGGGCATCTGATTTCTTGACTCAGTTGCCCTTAGCTCCTAGTATCCCAAAAGCAGGGTCCCGATGAGGGACTGAATGGACCCAGGGCAAGCAGTGAGCTATCCTGGCATCGAAATGGGCCAGGCCAAAGAGCCACGATACTCAACTATAAGTTGAGGGCATGATCATGGACAAATGCTGTCATGATCCAAAAGTAAGTAACGATGAGACTAGGACCCTGCTGGAGCTAGGAAGATTAACCTGGCCTGAGGACTGCGAAATGTATAGTGAGATGTTCTCAGGAAGAACCAAACTAAATTTATATCTCTTGCTGTGCTCATACAGAATGACATTGCTAGAAATATTAGAAGTAGATTTATTACAACTATTTATGTAGATTACTAACTGAGGGAAGAACACACCCTTGTAGGGATTCCACCCTTGGGTGGATCTCCTAGTAATCTGAAGTAATCTCTGTAGATGAGATTTTATCCTTGAGTTAATCTCCTGGAGGAGTGGTCTTACCTCTCTTTGTTGATTCGTCAGTATTCAACCCACCTTTATGTCACCGCCTTATGTGACTGCTATATAAACTAAGACGTAAGCTCGGAAAGGGAGTCAGAAGCGAGAGAGCTCGGGCTCCAGAGATCCAGAGTCAGAGCCAGAAGGAGAGAGGTTCCAAGATTGGGCCCAGGAGAGAAGGAGGCAGAGAAAGACAGGAGTGAAGAGGATTGGAATAAACTACTATTGATATAGACCGGCCTGGCCCTCGTTTCTTCTTCCATCTGCCCTTGGCCAACAGCCGTTCCGATCCAGGCCACACACAGTGGCTCAAGAGCACCGAACGCAGGTGGTGAGACAGTGCCGTCCAGTGAGCCCGTGAACACACAACCTTCGGCGTGATAAGATTTTACACCCTCCCATCTTCATGCCTCAAAAAATTCGCATCTCAAAACAAGCTCAGAAAAGTCTGAGGGGAAATAAAGCAACAGAATATGTAAGATTTATTCTGAGAAGAAAGTTGGGCTTCTATAATGGAATTTTAGGGTGGTACTAGCCTCTCATAAAGGTTAGGAATCTCTGTGAAACTTTGTTGTGAAAGAGAGCTGTAAGTACAAGGTATTTGGAAGAAAAAAATCATTTCTGTGTGATAAAAATTTCAAGGGAACTACACTTCAGATTTTGGGAGACTTTGGCAAAATGAACAACCCAAAACACCACCATTTAGAAAATGCAATGACTTGATAGAAGCAAAAATTAGACACGAAATTGTTGTTTGCAGTCTATTGATGGTCAGTGTTCCATTTTCTCCTAGGACCTTATAGATCGTCCTAGGACCACATAGATCAATATTTCAGGACTGGTTATAAATGAATCTCCAACATGATCTCTCACTTTTGGTCTTAAAGTGCATATTCCTACAATATGCTTAAGTCTTTGTCAGTTAAAATTTAGACATCAAATGACCTTTCAAATGATGTTTGATAGAGTAGCAATGCCAACAATATTTTTGAAGTATAGTCTTTAAAATTTTTTTCTAGGATAGTCAAGTTATTTTAATTAACCTGCCCTAAATCTATAAAAATATTTTGTTCATAGATACTGTGTTTTTTTTCTTTTGAATAGTTGTGGTAAGATTTTCTTTCAGATTTTGTTTCTTCAGAAGGTCAGTAGTATACCTTATATTGATTCTGACAATTTAATGTCTTTTGGAGTCCTCTTGATAAATTTAATTGCTATAATTTTATATACCAATTTTAATACATTTGTTGTCTCAATAATATTGAATATACGACTGCTTATAAGCATTATTTTTTATTAACTATTATCAGGAAGTGTTTTCTTTTTTCTTTTAGGATGCAGTCTTGTTTCAGTAGAAGGGTTAAATATAATAGTAAAGTTAAAAGGATTGGACCACACATAGAAATATTTCAGCTGTTCCGGAAAAAGAAAAAACCTAAAACGGACTCAAAAATGATTGAAAAGGTCGTTGTAATGCAGGCAGCTGTCAGAGGGTGGCTTGAACGCAAACGAATGCAAAGAATACTGGCCAAGGTAAGGCATATGTGAAATATTATAGTGTGTTAAAATTTCTTACATAGATTCAATTAAGTAGACTTTGAATAGTCATCTGAATATTATGTTTATGATTTTTCTAAGGTTTGTCCACATTACTCAAGGTAAGAAAATGGGAATAATCTTCTCTGTTGACACTTTCTGATGGTGTCACATCTTTTGCCCAACAGTTTGGGACTTATTCATAGGACAGAAAGCACCTCCCTGCATGAAATTTTTTTCTATTGGCTATCTATTTAGATCTACTTTCTTCCACTTTCTAGAAGATGAGTATAGTTGAAGAGCATAAATATGTGTTTCTTTCAGAAAGAAACACATACACAACACATACACACATGGCCCCTAAGAAATTTCAATAAATAAATTGCTATACTTCAAAAAGTACATACATGTAAACAAGAATATATGCACAGTTAAAAGGTACACAGATAAGAATTATTTATATGTTGAGAGATTTCCTCATCATTTGAAATTTTGCGAAATTGATAAAATTGAAGTGTCTAGTAAAATTAGCTGTGTAATTTTCAAAAGAAATGGAATAACCTGATTTGAATATACTTAGGCAAGATTTTTCATTGCAGACTATGTCTTAATAGTATTTTATTTTTTTTTCCTGGATGAGGAAAAAATATCATGAGGGCTGCACAATAAAGAAATCTGGACACCATCCTTTTATGCTTCTGTGATAGTATCATAGAAACCTCTATCAATGAGAAATGATGACAAAGGCCCTACTAATAAAATTCTTTGAACTTCAGATACATAATTTTATTCTATAGTTCATGCATTCTTGCAATAAACATTCACAGATATACCCCTAGTCTAAGAAATAGGACGTGGCAGATATAATTAATAAGGGAAATCAGATTAAATAAAAGTAGCAGAAATATATAAGGAACTTTGTAGCACTGTAGCACTGTCCTCCCGTTGTTCATTGATTTGCTTGAGCAGGCACCAGTAACGTCTCCATTATGAGACTTTTTGTTACTGTTTTTGGCATATCGAATATACCATGGGGAACTTGCCAGGCTCTGCTGTGCGGGCGGGATACCCTAAGTAGCTTGCTAGGCTCTCCAGAAGGACAGAGGAATTGAACCAGGGTCGGCTGCATGCAAGGCAAACACCCTAACCTCTGTGCTATCGCTCCAGCCCTATACGGAACTTTACTTTTGATATTGCTGTTTTCCAGGTTTTGGATCATGGGAAAGATTTGAGAGAGGTAATTAACAAGTATTCCTCCCAAATCTATCGTGTGAAATATGGACTTGGTCTTCCGAGGACAAGACAAATTTTACGCTTATCAGATTTAGAGGAATGGATGGATAGAAAAAAATGTAAGTGATACATTTATTGTCTAATTTATGAACAAATTAAATCACAGAATTTGCTCATGATTTACATTAAATTACACAAAGACACCAAAGGTAACCTATATTTTATATTGTCCGAAGTAAGTTCTTTGAATTTTAAGGTGACTATATTGTGTGTTTTGATTAACTTGCAAATATTCTGATTATAAGCAATGGAAAATCCATTCTAGATAATGAAAATTAACTACAATGTAAAGTTTTGATGGAACCCGAAAGGCTGCTTTACATATCTAGAGAGCAAATAATAAGGGACCCATCTATTTGTCTTATTAGTCTAAATAAGGTTCTATAACTTTAAATGTTTTTTCTTAAGATTAAACTTGCTAAGACATAGGATGAAGAAAGGGAGGAAATTGTGGGTCTTTGGAAGTTGGAGGGACACCAACACTTTTGTTGGACTTGGAGTTAGAGCAGTAAATCCACAAAACTCTGTTAGCAGCTTTGTAAATCACACTGAATACTTTAAAGTAGGTAAAAGTTAAAATTCAAGCTTTTGTGAGAGAGAGCACCTATTTGTTTTACTTAAGTTTGCTGTAGGAGTGCTGAGCACCAGCCTTAAAAATTCCAAAAAGATTGTATCCATTGGGAAAAAGTGTACATTCCTAAGGGAAAATTACATATCCATAATGAGAAGAGGAAAGCAGTCTGCTTTACAAACTAACAAATAAAGAGTCTGTGGAAAGGGTGAGGATGTCATGGTGAGTGAAGTCAGGAGGAAAGGGATAGAGAATGATTTCTCTCAAACGTGGAACTTAAAGATACACAACAAGGTAGTATTGAAGGACCAAAGGTGGCACAGTGGAAGATATGATTCACAGAACTGAGTTGCTTGGGTGGAGATTGAAAAGAGGCCCTTGGAAGAAAGATAGGTACACTGGTGATGGGTGTGGTATTGGAATTATGTGCAGAAGAAACCATCAGTATTATAAATCAGAGAACTTCAAATGATAATTCTTTTAAATGTGTATTGAGCAGATAAACAATAAATGTTAGTTATGTATTGCTTATTACTAGCAAATTTCTATACATGGGATATTTTTCCCAATTTATCACCTAACTTTCAGAGTCTGAATACTATTATGTTTAATGAGTTTGATATTGTTTGGGATTAGGAGAAATGTTCCAATTTTTTATTAAAAAATAGTGAGGACTTCTGTAGCAGAGCAAAATATGCAACTTCATTCATTTCAGCTGATCTGTCACAATAAGGGGTTAGAGGTATTATTGGAGGGTGACCTAAGAAACACTTGTGAATTCATATTAAAGATTTTAACTCAAAAGAGACATAATCATAGCCCATAATAATAATTTCTCCTAATTATCTTCTTATCACAGTATTATTAAAAGTATATTTATAGCAGGGCCTTTTACCACATATAGCTATGTATAAAAAATCATACATTGTATGAAAAGATAACTTGAAGAGACAGAGTAAATATCAAACCATGACATCCAGGAATGTTGGATGATTAGACTGAGAATTAAAGACAACTATGATCTGTATGCTAAAGGACCCTGAGGGATCAAGTCCACAACCTACCAAATCAAATAGGTCATGGAAAAGAGAGGAAATGCTAAGGAGAACTTAAGGAATGCTAGTAACATAAGTGAAGAATGCCTTTGATGAATTTATTAGCAGATTTGAATAAGGTTCAGGAGAATTCCCTGAGCCATAAGAGATATCAATAGAATTTTGAAAATTGCAAAGTGAAGAGAATAGGGGTTGAACAAAAAAATAGAAGAGAATCTTCCAATACTCTGGAATAACTATAAAGAGAATTACATATGAATAAATGGAATGCCAGAGAGAATAGAAAGGAACAAAAGAAATATTTGAAACAATAGCAACTGAGACTTTCTCCCAAATGAGCATCATATCGAAATCACAGATCTTCAAAACTCAGAGAAGACAAAGCATAATAAAGGGCAAAAATCTACATCAAAGGGAGCTGGAGCAGTAGGACAGCAAATAGGGCACTCCCCTTGAACATCGCAGAACTGAGTTTGATCCCTGGCACCCTATGTGGTCATCAGAGCACCGCCAGCAGAGATTCCTGGGTATAGAACCAAGAGTCAGTCATGAGCACCGCCAGGTGTACCCCCAACTCAAAACCAAACCAAAACAAAAACTATGCCTATATATAATCTTCAAATGATAGAAAAATGACGATTTTTTAAATGAAAAATCAGCGGTGGGAAAACACTTTACCTCTGGAGAAAGAAAGGTAAGAATCATACTCTATCAGTAACCATGCAAGCAAGGAGTCACATTTTAAGTATTGAGAGAAAAGTCACCGGTATTTTCTGTACTTTTTGAAATTATTGCTCAGAAATGAAAGATTTTTTTCAGGTATAAATTAAGAATATTTGCTAGTAGATCTGCCTTGCAAAAAATGTAAAAAGAAGTTTGTTAAGGTGTAGAAAAGTATTATAGGTCAGAAACTTGGACCTACATAAAGAAAGAGTATGAAAGAATAAATATGAAGTTAAAATGATATTGGTCTAACATTTCAAAAATGCAAACAATATGTTGGATTATATCGTGGTTATATGCATTGTTTATACAAGCCATTGTGTATAAATAAAATTATAACTATGGTACAAGGGATAAGAGGAAGAAATTAGGATTATTTTTATTGTAAAATATGCACACTATCCATGAAGTGGTCATTTGAAAATATAATTTTAACTGGAAGTGAACCTGGATTAACAGAGATACATCTATCAATCTCTAGGACAATAACTTTATAAAGAAAGCATTACAGATATATTTGGAGGAAGAGAAAATGAAATTCTATATAAAATAAAATTGTATATAAAGGTCAATTAAAATTACAGAAGTCAACAACAGTAAAGATATAAGAAGAACAAGGGAAAAATAAAGACAGTCATATAAATGTAATTATACTATTAATACTTTTGAATGTTAATTAATTTAAAATTTTGTTTTGCTTTGTTTTGGGATCACATCTAGCAGTGCTCATGACTTATTCCTGGTTTTGTGCTCAAGGATCACTTATAGTGGTGCTCAAGTTACCATAAATTATGCAAGGACTTGAACCTGGGTAGACTGTATGAAAGCCAAGTACTTTAACCCTTGTACTATCCCTTAGTCTGAGTGTTAGTAATTTCTGCTCACAAATTAAAAAAAGTTTTGTCAGGACTGATAAAAATGACCTAAATAGTGTATATAAGAAACCCACTTAAGATATACCTATATCTATGTGTGTATAATATATATATTATAGTATATATTATATATACTATATATATAATAGTTAAATAAAATATGCCAAGCTGATACTAATAAAAAAAGGAGGGGTATTAAATTTAGACTAAACGAACTTTAGTGTGAAGAAAGTTATCAAGAATAAAGAAGAACATTACATAATGATAAAAGATTTAAAATTCTAAGAAAAGAAATCATATTCTAATTGTCTATGTGCCTAACAGGAACTTATAATTATATGAGGCAAAAGCTGATAGAAATTCGAAAAGCAACAGATGAACCCAGTATCACTCTGCTGGAGATTTCAGTTTCTTCACTCTCAGAAATAATCCGAATAAGTGTACACATAATTTACGAGGAAATAATTGCCTTCAGCCTCACTACCAATCAGCTGCATGTCATTGAAATCTCTAGATTACTTTATCCAGAAATAGCAAATAATGGATATTTCTTTCTTTTCTCAGTGGCCTTTCAAGTAATAAACAGTGGCACTGGGATCCACTCCTAGTGGTCTATGGCCAACAGCCCAACTGGTTCTCTGTGTGGCCTTATGCTGCTGGTGACCATGACCGCAACCTGGCAGTGCTTGGGAAGGGGTCAAGGTGTTTGCCGAGACATGCAGTGTGGGTTTGGACTTTGGACCTTACACGTATAGGACACGTGCTCTAGCCCTTGAACAACCTCCAGATCCCCAGTAGATACTAAAAAATATACTTACATGGAACTTCATCAACACAGACCATATTTTGTTCATTCATATACCTTCAGCGACAGTAGGAAAAGTTCAGTGTCTACTGTTTTGTTTTGTTTTCCTGGGTCACACACGGTGATGCTCAGGGGTCACTCCTGGCTCTGCACTCAGGAATCACTCCTGAAGGTGCTCGTGGGATTTAGGGAAAGTCAAATTGGTACAGAATAGAGGATAGTTAGGGTGAGTATTGCATAACTGGGGACCCATTGGATGAGAGAGTGGTGGCACAGGACAGAAACAAGGTTGGAAGTTGGCCATGGTTGGAGAACATTGAGAAATACTGCTCTAATGGACAATATAGGCAACTTTCAAATGTTGAATCTTATCTCGTCTTTCCTCTGTCAATGGTTGAGCCGTTCTAATGGAGCCTCAATTCCCTGGTACCTCTGGCTTGCTGGACAGGTGGGCAGAATATAGTCTTGCAGCCAGAGGGAGCCCTAAGGCAATGGTGCAGTTGCAGATGCTGGTACTTCAAAGGCCGCAGTGTGTGACTAGGAGAGATGAAACACATGCACAGAAACTACTCTCATGTTATGTTGCTTATCTGATGTCACAAAAAGTTATACATCTACTAGTTATAAATTTATGTTTATTTTACTACCGTGTTTGAAATCTGGATTGGCCACTCATATTTGGACAGTCACTAAATATTTCTTGAATTTGTTCATGTTTCCTGATTAGTTCCCTCAACTGAATGAATAAGTAGAAAGTTAAGACCTGTATGTTGGAGTGCCAAAGCAATGCATTAACCTATGTTAGAAAATATTCTTTGTCCTTATAAATCTATATTTCATAGCACTGCTCGTACTGAAATAGACCCTGTAAATATTTGAAAGAATGATCAAGCAGTAAATACTAATTAACAATCAGCCTTATGGTGATAACTCATCACTTCAGTGTGAAGGTCAGTTTCACCTTTTTAAGTAAAAAGTGAATTTATGGAAAGTCACACTTCGAAGATAGATGTGTCAGTTCTTTTGGTTATTGTCTAACGCTAGTTTAATGCCATATATGGAAGATAGGTGAGTAATGGCCTAAGTGGGTGCTTTTCTGTGGTGACCTTGGCAAAGTAATAAAATACCTTGAACTATGATGTAGAAAATGTGCAGTCAGTGGACAAAAAGTAGATCCAGTTCCAGTTAGGAAAAAAATAAGAAGTAGGATCTGTAGTCTGATTTGGAGTCTCCAACTTAAGTAATTATTTGTGAGTCAAAGTACAAAAATTAAGAGGAGATAAGAAAAAAAATGGATCAGTAGAAGGTTGCATCCTAATATTATTAACATTAAAACTATGTCTTAAGATACAGTTTGAGTGTTCATATATAGGGGATTACTGTCATGCAAACCAGACCAGAGGAGGCAGAGGAGGGAATGTTTTCCTTGGGAAGCAAGTCCAGTTACTTAGACAGGGAGCGAGATCTCTGCTTTCTTCCTTCTCTCCTTTTCCAGGAGATTGACAGAATACCCTGCTTATGGAAATCAAAAACATAATAGAGTCATGGTTTTTCAGGTAAAGATGAAACTGTGGTTTGTATTTGACATATTATAAAACATTTTTTCTTCTAGACTATGAAACAATGTTTGCTAAGAGACAAGACTGGCAAGGAATAAACAGAAATGAGCTCCTTAAATTCTTTAATGACTGTGGTCATTTCCCAGCTCTGCATCAAATTGATGACATTTGGAACTTGGTCCACATAGGTGAGTAGTTTTTTCCTTCTTCTCTTCATTTTCCTGACTCTTTTTTAACATCTATTCTTCACTTGTTCTTTTTTTTGTTTTTTACTTTATTAAAAATTATTGGTTATGTATTTGCCCCTCAATATAATTTTTAATTTATACTAAGGAAGAAATGCAGGTTCAAAGAAGTTCCTACAGTGTAAGTTAGTTTTCTCCTATATTGTTAGATTTGGTGCTGAAAAATATAGTAAAATAAAATTTTTTTGAAAGGGTGGGGGCATATCTGGTGATACCCAGTGGTTATTCCTGTTCTGAACTCAGAAATTACTCCTGGCGGGGCTTGTGGAACCAGAGGAGATGTCTGGGATCAAAACTGGATCGACCAGGTGCAAAGCAAATACCTTCCTGTACTATCTCTCCAGCCCTCAACCCTGAATGTTTAAGCATTATAAACTAAAAAAAGTTTACAATTAGAAATTGTTTTTGAAGAATATAAAAATTAAAACATGTGAGAATACTTAATAATTTTAAAGGAATACTGTTTCTCCCTTGTTTATAGACTAGTCACCCTGTGGAAAATTGTCACCAACTGTGGACAATCTCAGTAGCGTCACTTAATTTCTTAAAATACTTCTTAATTCTTTTATGTCTGTGCTTCTGCCATGACTTGTTGCCAGGGTTAGAGATGATGTTTTATGGACCCCGAACTCCATTGTGAAAAAGAAAGATGAATAAAACAAAACACAAGGTTTCAGGACCCATTTTCAGAAGAGTAAAAGGACTTACATTCTTCTGTGAACATGACTAGATTGTTTGCTTCTGTAAGGTTTTCCTGATGATAGAATCAACTAACATTATTACAGAACATTTAGGCAATAAAATAATAATGCTGCTAAGAAAACATATCTTTTTTCTGTCAATATGCTTTTTTATGAAAATTAAGATTATTTTCTGTAATTTTAAATAATCTCTGTAATACAATACTCTTACATTTCTATTGAATTTCTACTCTAATATAATACTACTATATTTTCAATCAATGAATTTAATTTGCTACTTTTTGTGACTGGAATATAATTGAATACAATGTAGATATCATATAATATATTTTCTCTGCTCTGTTTAGTTACCATTTTATTTATAAAAAAATTAAAATGTGAAAGTGGCAAAATGGAATCAACTGTGCATTTTAGAAGCTTCTGATGACTAATAATAATCATTGAAAATATAATTTTTTTCAAATCATCAGTTTCACTAGTATATTTTCTCTATTGATTATTTGGAGTATAAAATGAACATAATTTTAGAGAATGGCATCAAAATTAGCTTACCTGCAAAGAATTACTGGCTCTATCACTGTACATATTTGGACTAGTCATTTAGCACTGCTCTATCTTATTTCCTCACCATAAAAGGAAGATAAAACTAAGTCATTTAAATATTATGAAGCTTAAATCAAATAACAAATAAATAAACTTTGTGATGTATTATAAACTCTCAGAAAATAGTCTCTGTAATTTATAAATACTCCTTAAGCATACTTTAGTCCTGTATACATTTTTATAGTAGTTTTAAAAAGTATTTGCGTATTGAGACTAATTGTTAAGTAACTAAGTTTTTAAAATCTTGTATTGAACATTGTCCATTGAATATTTTTATTACCATAATTGCCTGTGTGCTGAGGGTGTGGCACATTTATTTACACTCATTTTAAGGTAAGAGACATGAGAATGGACTATTCTAAGATGCTTAGTAGAGCTGAACTTCGGTCCCTGTTTCTTCAGAGAGAGTTCTGTACTTTTTCTATTGTACTATATGTGGACACTTCGAAGATCAATATTATGAAAACATAATTAGGTGATTAAAACATTCTTGACAGCAAGAATTTCCTTTTATTGATCTTCCATGGACTAGTTTAGTGTGTTAAAATATTGTAGGTTTAAAAAAATGATTGATTCTATTAAATTTGTTACTGAACTTAAATTTAAAAAATACCCTGAGTATAAACTTGAATAACAGCATATTGTTTGAATCATAATACCTAAAATTAGCAGGTGTTCCTTCAAACAGAGGAAGCATACTAACATAATTAAAATCTCTTTTTTTCTTTCATCACTTAAAAATTTTGATGATTCATAGGGAATGGAGATATTCTTTCTTTGCAAATGGATATATTCTAAGATAAAATAAAAATGGAAAAATACTGAAAATGAACCTAAAATATGGTTTTCTATTTGCTTCTGCTATATATTCAATTTTCAAGAGAATCTTATTTAATGAATTTTGGATTACCAGTCATACTCATTTATCCCAAGTTTTTTGTGAATAGCAGTTTCAAATTGTGCAACTTACACATTTCTTCGTTGAATCTACTATTTCACTTAGTGCATATGTAGTTTATTTATTTCCAAAGGGTCTGACTTAAGGTGGGTCGGATTCCTAAAACTCTATGTATGTGTTCAAGCATTTTTATTTAACATTTATTTTTAAAAAATTCTTTATTCTTACCACTATGGTTACAAAAGCGTTGTAACTGAAGATACAATTTTCAATTGAAAATCTTCCCTTGGGAGAAAGTAGCAACTTCATACTGAATGTAAAGCCTGTTTTTAGAAATAAAGACCACACAAATGACTGAAATCTCCAGGCTTTCTCAGAGTTAGTATGGGCTACCTCCCAATACTTCCCAATCCCCCTGGAAGCACTGGTAGTCACCCCCATGAACCAACTCCAGTTCTACCATGTAAGTTCTATTACTGGCCTTGTTTCAGAGACCTATAAATAAATCTCGAAAGAGATCAATAGCCGCAGTTAATCTCGGACCTGTGCATGGCTGAACAGATCCAGGTAAACAGAGGCAGGGGTTCGGGGGTGAGTTGGCCTGTGCCTGCTCCAGCAGAGCTCCTGGCAGCCACTTGCTTCCACAGTCCAAAATTGTTGCCATACTCCCTGCCTGACTCCACTGTCTCAGTACGGACCTCACCAAGATATAATCTGCTGAAAATTTTGGTATGTGGGTTTTGTAACTGAAATCTCCAGGCTTTCTCGGGGTTGGATGGGCTACCTTCCCTCACCTCCCTGTACTTCTGAAATCCTTGGCAGACACATCCACACCCCAAAACTTCTTTTTACCCAATTCAAAAACTACTCCAGCCTTACTGTCTCTATAAAAATAATGATTGCCTTGAACAAACACCATGACCTCTTAGCACCTGTATTGCAAATCATAATGCATAAAAGAAAAAGGAGAGAGAGAGCAAGAAGGAAATTACCTATGGTATAATAACATTGGTTTATGCTTTCTCCACTGCCACAAGGAGCTTAGGTTTACTGAGTAATACCCATCACAATGCTTCTGAAGCATTCCTATTTCCTTGGTATTCATCTTTAACTTCTCTGTGCTTTGCTTTCTCTACCTGTTAATCACTCATTTCCCCGAAGCAGTACCTGTGACTTGTAAAGTCAAATTCCTCAGAAATCTCTGATTTTGTATTTGTAAGTGAAACATTGCTTTTCTCCCTCCTTTATGTCCTTTTGCATAGTTTGCTTCAGAGTAATGTCCTTTTTGTATAGACACAGGAAGATAGTTAATGCTATGCTTTTGTAACTTGAGAGTTAACTGACTCCAAATAATATTCACTCTTGGGCATCTGTTTTCTCAGCTTACGCCTCGGTTGCCCTTAGTACCTGGTAACCCAAAAGCAGGGTCCCAGCGAGGGACTGGATGGACCCAGGGCAAGCTGTGAGCTACCCTGGCATCAAAATGGGCCAGGCCAAGCGCCATAATACTTAACTATTAGTTAAGAGAATGTTCATGGACAAATTCTGTCATGATCCAAAGAGTAATAACGGAATTAGGACCCCTCTAGGGTTATCAAAGACTAATCTGACCTGAGCACTGTAGTCTGGTATCTATAGTGAGATGTCCCCAGGAGAGCCACCCTACAAGCTTAATGTATCCATGCAAAATAGAATTAAGATGAATGTTTGAATGGTTCTTGGACTAAGGAAAGGAGAAACACACCCCTAGGTGGTATTTTGCCCTTGAGTTCTTCTGGCTGCAGGAAGGAAGGGCTTTCATATGTTGATTGTGCTATAGGACCTAGGTGTGGTTGCTACCCCCTATGCTTGCAGGTTGGGTATGAGAATAAGGCTGCGAGATGGGGTGCAGAGAGACTAGCATGGAATAGAGATCTTAGTGGGACTAACAGGCACGTGGGGAGAGTGTAATAAACCCCAACCAGCCTGGCTCCTGTTTTATCCTCCTTTCATCCATCACTGTTGGTCATCCGGGGTGGGAAAAAGGTCTAACTACCAAACACGCATGGAGAGAGAGTGTGCCCTCTTTTTATTTTGTAATAATACAGTCTTTTTATAGAAGGAGGCTGGGGGTAGGGAGTAGAGGGTTGGGGGATGGTGGTGGGGGAATGGGGAACATTGGCAGTGGGAAATGTACACTTGTGGAGGTATGGGTACTGGATCATTGTATGATTGAAACCCAATTATGAACAGCTTTATAATGGCCTATATCATGGATATCCAATTAAAAAGAATTTTAAAAAGTAATATGCTGTTCATGCCCAATTCAATCAGCTTAATCAATGGCCAAATGAATAGCAGCACTACATTAAAAAATACCACACAAACATGAGAAAAGTATTTAGTATTCAGTGAATAAAAAGAATGGAACTAGAAGCAATAGAACATACCTGAAGGTAGGTAAAATAATGTATTGCATTTCTGTATGTTTTCTTTTCATATCTGCCTAACATTTAGAGGTTTGAGCTTTGAATACTTATCAGTATTGCTCCAACATGTAAATCAAAATTTTAGATTGCTTCTGCACTTAAACCAGGACAGAAAAGTTAACAGTGAGGGCAAGTTCATTCTCATTGTGAAAACCTGGACAAGAATCTTAAAATAAAGAACACGGGAGTTGTATGCTCTTTAACCTGGCATGGCCTATGTATTTGAGGAAACTGTGGCCTGAAGTAGGATGTAAGTTGGTCCCAACTAGTTAA